GAATAACGTAGTTGTCGTAATTCACGTGTATAATCAAGATCACGCATTGCACGTTTTAATGATGTTACACGATCAATTGAATCATTAAAACGATAATTATATGATGACTCATCGCGTATTAATGGATAAGCTGAAGAAGAACGACGATGACTATGAAGTGGTCGAGAACGTCGATCATCATGTGAAGAATCGTAATAAGAGGTACGTGGTGCTGTATGATACCAATAAAGAGGCCTGTAACGTGTATAATGACTATCGAGAGAAATCGGTGTTTTATCTCGGATGCGTTCAGTATAACGATCATAATAATCAAAATCGTGTGTACCATAAGCAGAATAAGGTCGTCGTGTTTTTAAAGGATCTAAACGACTAACTGATTGTGCTCGATGGTATCGATCATAAGCACCACCACCAAGAATGATTTCATCATCGATATCTTTAGATCGAGCTACGGAAGCAGCTCGAACTGAACGAGATGTTGATCCATGTAAATTAGGTCCATAGACGTTGAGATGTGTTGAATAACCACCTCCACCTATACTGTCATCACCAGCTCCATAATCATAGATAGACGGAGTCGTTTCACGCCCTGGTGTTGTACCACGATGGCGGCTCAACGAACGGGCACGACGAAACATACTCATCTACAAAATAAGAAATAAATAGTATTCAAAATAATATTACTGTTAATAAAAATTAGTTTGATCTAAATGTTACATTATATAAATATTGAATAAATAATTTGAAAATTTACTATTGATTTCTCATTTATTCTTCGATTGAAACAAAAATTTTCTTATCTTGTACTCACAGTTATTAGGTATTTATCTATTTGTGTGGGTTAGTATATATTAAGTAAATGGTAAGAAGGAAATACTCTAGTTACGATTTGCTAATACTATTCTATTTTTTTCTTCTTTTTCTTCCAGATAGGTTATATAGTCAAATAGGTTTTCTGTGCGGTTTGTTTCTATCTATATTTTTCTTTTTTTCTTTCTTTCGTTTAATCGTCCTTGTATACAACAACAACAAATATAACTAGGAATAATTCCTCAAAGGAAAGAAAGAGGCTAACATGTCTTACTTGGTATTATCACCGATATTGCGGATACTTGTAATCTTACAGAAAAACAACTAAAATACCATCATGACGACTGTAAAGATGTGTTATTTTTCGTGGTCTTATGCGTATTGTTCTAACAGCAAATATCGCGCTAAACACTCGTAGAAAAAAAATATATATATCCAAACTATTTTCACTCCTTCAGAAAAAAAAGCAAGAACAAGAAAGATTCTGACTTGTTTTTGTTGTTATCCTCATGTGGTTACTCTTCACTAGTTATGATGCAGTTAAAACAATGTATATAAAGACAAAATAATAACATACTATTACAAAAAAGACTGCATTATATTAGTCTTGAAAGATATGTTCATGAGAATGATATTGTTTCTTCATTTACAGAAATAGTTTTTTTTTGTAATAT